CAAACCACACAACGCAGAGAAAAATAATACAGTGACATGAGCTTTTTGCAAAGAAAACAAATTAGCAAATTGCGTAACTATGACAACGTAACCGTATAATGGGAAGATGTGCAGAACTTTTTTTGGAAATGCCACGAGATCTCTTTGTGTGGGCAGGAAGCTTGCAGCACCATTAAGGCCAAGTAGTAAACAGCCATCACCCACACACCAGTTCCTACTGTGTGCCCACAGGGACCAACCCTTCTGTGAGCTTCCTATGTAAATTTGGATAGATTGATGCTAGGTACTTTCTCTACATTTCCTGACTGGAGGTTCAGGATCAGTGGTAAGACGCACTGAAAGCAACACTGAACCGTCCAACATTCAATGCAACAACAAACTGTATAGCTCCTTTTATGTTGGGAGGACGTCCCAAGTTATTGGACAGTCAAGGGTCAAGGGTTTTCACCCTTGGGGGATAGAATCTAGCGGGATGGACGCAAGGTGGGGGGGGGGGGAGGGGGTGGGAAAGGGGCGAGGATGACCAAAGGCACAGTCAAGGAGAAAGGTCATGAGACAGGTCTTGAAGGAGGCAAGGAAAGGGGCAAGGGGAAGGGATGAAGGATGGAGTTCCAAAGGGTGAGGGCAGAAAAGCGTAAGGCCTGACCACCAGTGGCAGAACGGGCAAGACGGGTGACATCTGACAGACCAGGGAGCAGAACACCAATCCTTTTGAAGACGACAAGCCTATTCCATAGCTCCCACTCTTTTCCCCCCACCAAGTGAGTGGTTTTGCTCTCCTTGCTGAACCCCATTAAACCATCATCATCCAAACCTTAGAACACTGCCCAAAATGGTTGCTCACCTTTCACGAAAATGTTACCCAAATACAATCACTGCACTTTACAGTAAATCCTGTGAAACACTGTAGATTTCACGGTGACATTTTGAGGCTCTACATCAAACGCAAGGATTATTATTGCTATCATGCCTTCTTCCCACTTGAGGTAAATCAGACTAAGTGGTTATTTTTAAAATAACTTTCAAAAAGTTTACATTTAGAACCATTTATGTTTAAAGGTTACAACAACAAGCAAAAAAATTAGACTTATGCAGTGACTTCAACGTAGGAAGGAGGGCCCAATGCTGCCGTTAAGATCATCAATTTAATGTGATTTTAATGTGCATTGTGTGCAGCAAAAAGCATCAGTGTTACTCTTGAATTTTTTGACAGAGATGGTTTGCCTGCTCCTCTTCTTCACAAACATACAAATACAATGTTTTCCACACAACCTAGGTTACCGTGTGTAGGCGTCACAATGACTGTATAAACCACATCCATAAATCGATGTAAAGTATTTTACATCTGGCTCTGTGAAATGCACCTACAGTATAAAACAGGTTACGGAGTCCAGCGACCAGGTTATATTGCAGAAGCCAGACACAAATACTGTATAAGGGAACAATGACTTTAATGGGGAGGGAGGGGGTCGGAGCACACTGGCAGTGGTTCAAAGGAATATGTAGTGTAGAGTATAGCTATTTCACAGCTGCAGTGGATTGGGTTTCCCTGCTTTTTCGAGTGCTTTTTAAATCTGTGGTACAGTAAGGAACGAGGGGACTCGGGTAGCTCTGTAAAGCTCCACAAGCAAAGAGATTCTCAGCTCCGGCCCACAGGCTGGGTGATGAACGGTGCAAGACGACACAGCGGGACTCTTATTTAGGGGCAGCAGCAGCTTTAAAACCTTACAACAACTCGTTTTTAGCGAATGAAACAGCACATTAGCAAACTCACCCTGACAGCTTATGACATTTTATTTTTAAGGGTTGGTGGTGGTGGGGGGGGAGGGGGGTGAGGAGAGGAGGGCTGGAGATCAACTGTGGAAAAATAGCGGTAGCAATATTACCATCTTAAATGAACAAGCAGCAGCAGAGAATATTAAAAGTAAAATTGCATTTCACAATTGCTGGTGCGGAGCTCTCATTTTATTTAAATAGGCGATTCTCAATTGAAACATTTGTTTGCTATCGCATGACGTTTGCCTCGACTGTCAATTCGTATGTTATGGCAATGGTGCTTTTGATCAGACACTGCTTTTTTCTATTCTCTAAGCAGCTTATTTTGCACAGTGCCTATTATTATCTGACCCCATCAAACAGCAACAACAAAAAAGAGACTCCCTCCCTCGCTCATCTCAAGACCCTTCTCTTCGACCGAGCCTTCAGTTACCCTCCTACTCTTATCCTCTTACCCTCCACCTCAACCTCCAGAATCCCTGACTGTCCAGCACCTCGGGACATCCTCCCGACATGAAAGGCGCTGTACAATTGTAATTTCTTGTTGTTCTGGAGAAAACATGAAACTATTAACTAAGCCATATAAGCATAGGCAGAGTGTGTGATGAGAACAATTGCACAAGGACTAAATGCTGTAAGGAAATAAAATCAAAATTACACATTTTATAATGATATTTTAGAGATCTGTTTTACTTTAGATTTTTAGTCATTATTTGTTTCATATCAGTGCAATACTGCATAACAACATGCATTTGAATGTGACAGGACGACATGTTCCACTGACAAAACAAACTGCTGTAGATTAAACCTGATGAGATACATCACCTCAGGCACTGTGCAACACCTGCTAATTCAGGGTGTGTAAAATATCCGAACAGGTAAGATTTACACTGTTTCACAAAGTATATAGCTTTAAATCGCTGAATATTTCAGCCACATGTAAAAATTAACATTCATGCACAGGACCTCATTCTAACAGCCTTGTTTTTAATACCATTTTGTCTTTGGTCACTCAGTCCACCACTGTTAGTGGGACACTGCTGGGTGAAATTGGCTGCCGCGTTTTGTCCACAAAATATACACTCAATTCACTTTCTTGTATATCCTGTGATGCGCTTTGAGACGTCTCAATAGTAAGGCGCTGTAACAAATGCAAGGATTATTTATTATTAAGACTGTTATTGATTGTGGCAGAACTAAACAAATGCTTTGTGTTCTTGCTGACTTAAGCATGCAAAAAAATGATTCGATCGGTCAAAATTGGAAAAGAGACGATTTCACTGCTGTACAAAGAGAAGTCGCGTGATTAGAAATTTGAATGGAAAGAATCCTCACAATATAGGAATGAGCATTAGACTAGTTGCGAAGTCACAAAGATAGCAATTGGCATTGCGTTTAATCCAGCAAATTTAAAATATGTAGCTACTGATCTCTCTGTCACTAAATTTTTTTAAAATAAAAAAACACAACATAGCGTTGCTCAACTCTGAAATCATTTCTACGGAGGTGGAGCACACAATAAATATGATTTCATGCTCATCGGTGCCTTAATAGATGAGCAAGTTTTACAACTCTGTCATTCGGTTGATTCATGAGAAAAGGCCAAGGTTAAGATAATTCACTTGTCCAGTGGGACTTCAAGCTGCAGAAATGTTCTCTTGTACAGTGTGCTACCATGGCACAAACAATGTGTGTCACTCCATTTGAAATGGAAAGTAATGGCTGGTATTAGTCAATACACTTTACAGTATATTTTGTGAAGCACATTGAGACTTATTGAAGACGTGATGAGGCGCTATATCAAATGCAAGGATTAATATTATTATTAAGTTGTAATAGAGGAAAGAAAACCTATTGAAGTTCTTACTTAACAATAACAATGTACAATTTGACATCTTATGGATCGTTATTTAGTTTAATAAACAAAATGTAAGAAACACAACAGTAATTTGGACCCGAAGCATTGTATTTACTGCAGAATTACTGACTATAGTTTGACTGTATTTTGATTAAGTTTGGTTCAATCACAAGAAGCCTGACAGATAGGTTGCAAGTTACTACCATAAGCCATACACGCAGCACAACACAGACTATGGTAAGAGATCAAATAAATAATAATCCTTGCATCGATACAGCATCTCATCATGAACTCGTCATATAGGTTTTTTACTGTGAAGCAAAGTGACTGTATTTTTGGGGAAAAACATACATCAACAGAAGGTGGTCTGAAAAGTGCTCCAAAAAGATGGCCTGGACTTAAATGAAGAAATACCTTTGGATCGAATTTGAATTGTTCCGCTTGTGTGAATTGAACGACAGCGATCAGGCATGTAACGCAATATCCCACAGTGGGCATGAGGTGGTGGCATGCAGTGTAACTTTCAACAAACAGAGCGATTAGGAAATAGCTTTATACCAGTAACTCTGCACGTGCCAAGGACTGGATCTTGTCCAGATTACCAGGTGGAAGTAAGCACCAAGGAACACGATGACTTGCATTGGCTCTTCACCTCTCAGTAGCGTTGCCAGATTGACATCTGCTTTCTTGGCTGAAGAATTGGTGTGTGTCCTTGGGAAGCCCAGCAAGGCAAAGAAGGGGTTAGACAGGGAGAGAGATTATTTTATCTGCATACCACACCACCACTAACCACAGCTGCAATTCAAACAGGGTATCAGCATTTCCTTCAGTTTATGGAATATTTACTTAAACATCTAGCACCATTCAGTGCTAGAAACTCTGCAGTCTTTCTCTTCCCCCAAAGTTTGGAATCCTGGTATGATTTTATCAGATATAGCACATCTCAGTGAAGCTCCCGGGTTTTTGTGCCCAGCATTTTCGACTGGAACATCAGTCATGGAGTCATGGCAAAGGGCAGGCATCATCCACCCCCATTCTGGATGGAGAGCAGGGGCAACCCAGGTATTCTCTTTATTGGCGCATGAGACGTAGCAGATCTGGCATTTTTACCCATGTAACACATTTCAGCAGATAACCAATAACACAACAACAACTTACATTTATGAAGCTCCCTTCATGCAGGGTAGGGTCCTGGAGCGCTTCACAGTGGTGGAGTCGGACCCCGAGCCAGGGGGAGAGGGAAGGGGGGAAAGGAACCGTGAGCACGATCAAAAAGGAAGGTCTTTAGGCGGGGAGTAAGTAGTAACCGAGGAAGTAAACCACACACAACCATCAAAAAACACTCTCACACGCTGCTTTTCGTCTTACCGTTTTACCAACACAACGCACAGAAAGGTCAAAGTATACATGCGTACACCGTGCGAATAGGAGTTTGAGATCACATGCCCAACCAATACTCGTATTTTTATTTACTGATCAAAATCGCAATTTAGCCCAGGTCTGAATACTCAACTAGCCACATGTGGCTCATGGCTGACATATTGGGACAACCCTTGTGTAGATGCATTTGAGAGGAAGCTAGGCCTTCACATGAGGGAAGAGGGGATTAGAAGGTTATGGGAAGGAGTGAGGAATGGGAAAGACTCGGGTAGAGTATAAACACGGGCAGGGACTGATTGAGCCGAGTGGCCCATTTCCATGCGACGACTGAGAGTTCCACACTGAGAGTTCATGGTTTCAGTTTGTCTGGTACGGAGTGTGCACCCTCCAAACAGAGGCAGACCCACGCTGCTTATCTAAGCATGGCTTACCCAATCTGAACATGTAATAGTGGAGAACTGCGGGGAGTGGTTCCTGCTATTTAGAGGTTTTTTGTTGCCCGTCTTCTCCTCTGCTGAAGATGCTGATTCTTGCTGGAGTGAAGTCTCAAGGGATTCTGTAGACCTCCTCTGTCCAAGACCATTTTACATACTGTGAGATAATTTGGCGTCTGTTGGCAGGCTATTTTATTAGAGGTGATTTCCGCCCCCCCTCCTTGAGCTCCCCAACTATAGCAGCCTATGGTTTCCTCGGACCGCATCAGTTATCTCAGATCATTTGTCAGCACAGTCAAATCCACCATTGTGTAGTTTTGTGCTACACCATGGAAATGGTTTGATCCACTTCACCCATGTAACAGGCGATAGAACCACAGAAATGAACGCCATGATAGGAGACCAATCAATCTATTTAGGGTTTGCTTCTCCAAGATGCCATCCATCCTCATTCCATTGTTTTGCTCTTTCCCCACCTACCCCACACCAGTTTTCCTCTGCATGAATTCATCAAATAATCTCTTAAATGCCCCCAATCAACTCTAGTCTAACAGACACTCCTGACAACTTAATCCATAACCTGATAATGTCTAAGAGAATGTATATTTTTACTCCCCAAGCCACAACCTTACATGATGTGCAAAGGACATGATGAACCTTTCTTTGCAACTGAAGCATTTGATCATTCTAGCTTTTCAAATTTCACTGCTCAATGCAGAAACATGAGTGTGGGGGGAATGGATCTACCATAAAAATCTAAACAGAAGGAGGCCATTTGACCCATTAAAGTCTTTGTTTTTGCTCCTCCGCCTATCTTACAATGGGATTCGTGAAGTAGCAAAGGAATGCGTGGTTGGGAGAAAAAAAAACTTTTACTGGCATCAATGAAAAATTGTTGCCATCAAAAGAGAATAAACCGAAGACCATTAGTCGAAGGAAGCTTTTTTTATAGAAAAAGTGAAAAATAAATCCAGGTATCTATGTATTCATGGCACAGCCCTAAGTAATGAAAAGTAAGTAGAAGGGTGAATGTGTCATGCAGCTTTGTATTTCTATAGCAACAGTGAATATTTTACTGCATGCTGGCCTTAATTACTGATTTGTCTTGGTTGTTAATGTTATATTATAGGGTCGTTACGAAGTTCCTCCGAAGGCACTTAACTAATAATCAAAGCACCTTTCAACCTGCTGAAAAACCTACTCGTGCTGGGCAACATCCGATTGTTTGTTTTGCAAGTGGCCTGGCTGGAATTGCAAAGCAAAATGGTACAGGATTATTGTAAGTATCAAAGAGACATTCAGCAAAAGAGTTTGCGTATTGCAATATAGTAGGATGCAAGTCCACTGTGCACGTCAGTGGAGAAGCGCTTACAGTCATAATGTACAGGTAAAAGGCCACCTATATTGTCCTTCGATTAGTCTGTGATCTAGGACTCAAGCAATGTGTGCCATCTACAGATTTGTTGGCCTTTTGAGTCTTTCATCTCCAGCCAGTGGTTCTGTTCCTCATCCCCACTGTTATTCTGACCCATCGAGATCCATCCAATCATTTCCTTGCGCTTCATGGAACGTCTGTTGTATATAGAGATCATTAACATGACATCGGAAAGCTGGAAAAGAGCAACCTGGAAGATGAAAGTCTCCTTGTAAACGGGGTTGGGTTGACCTCGGCGGATAGATGTTTTGCACCGAGACATCTCCTGTCCAACTGAGTTCAGCAGAGAGAGCTTCGCATATGTGTCTGCAGTTAAGGGAAAAAAAGGAAAGTCTCAATGTGAACTGCAATTGTACCATTTTAGTAGCTGCAAATACCACATTGGCTCAGAGATACTCTCACCTCTGAGTCTCAGAAGGTTGTAGCCCACGTCAGGACTTTTTGAGTCTAATCTAGGCTGATACTCCAATGCATTGTTGTCAACAGAGCCCAACACATAATCTCATCCCAAATTCAACACCTAGTTTAATTATCACAGCTAATAGCCTGGCAGTGAGATGAAAAACTGGATCACTACTTTATGGAGCAAGACCTGCCAATGAGATACAGTAGTAGATTGAGGGTAAAATATTCTGCACTGCACATTCCTAAAATGTGTGCATCGGGGGAATGCAATCCTGAAACAAGACACCTCTACAACAATGCACCAGCACCATATCGCAACGATAAATGAGAGGAATGCTCACATGAAAAAATAGTCAACCTGTGAAAAGCTGGTAGAAATTGAGCAGTTAACTGTCTTGAGAAGAAAGCATAGAAGAAGCGTTAATGGAAAATAAAATTATCTCGGTTTCAGAATCAGTTCACTTATTTCTTGAATTTGATATAGCGCTTTTCACATCTTCTTGACGTCTCAAAGCGCTTCACAAAATATACTGTAAAGTGAATTGACTGTATACTTGTGGGCGAAACGCGGCAGCCAATTGCGCACAGCAGTATCCCACAAACAGTCGTGGTTTGGAGTGACCAATTTATTTATTATTTTTTTATTTGAGGGACTATTATCAAATGTGTGGAGTAAGGAAACAAGGTTTCACCCTACCGGGAATCGAACCCAGGTCTCTCGCCTCCGAGGCGAGTGCTCTAACCACTAACTACAGGATTCCACTACTGGGTTCTTATGTACAATATAGTACTGTGACCATGGTAATTTTATTTGTGCATTTCGTGACGAGAATCTTCTTTTTCTCATCAGGCAAAAAGCATAATTATGCACAAATAAGGTTTCCACTGTGCAGAAACAAACTAACTCGGTGTTTCACAAAAGGAAGTCACTTAGTCCGGCTAAAGTCTGCTTAAAGACATGATTTTTCAAACATTAAATTTAAAAAAAAACAAATTTTAGATGCCTCGCTCCCCCAACTTGCTTTTGGACTTGCGTGTTTTTTGCTAAACACGGAACTTCAGTCAGAAATCGCACAACTAACCAGAAATTCTATAATTCACCCATATTAACAATTTAACATTAAACTGAAGTGACCAATTTATTAAACATATTAAAGCTCCAGAATGCAGTTTTGGCCAAACCTTCCTCCAAAGGAATATAGCACCTTTAACTGTTCTGTGGAGGGCACACAATCTATATAAAAAGGCATAGATCACAGTCACTAGGCAGTCAAAAATACATACTTTGCTACAAAGCAGACCCAACATTAGAAACCTGCATACAACCATCAGTTGTCAGATTAGTTAACCTTACACCATGATGCGGTATTAGGGATGTTACAATTGATTCGTCAGGGAGTAAAGTAGTTTTAAGAATTGCAAATACAAAGACTTTATTCTCTCATGCAACATTAAAATCGTCAGTGGTTGGATTTCATGACAAATGGCCTTGATGTAAATCCGTGCAGGTGAAAATACTAAGGTTCAGTCTATGTTCAGTGCACTCCTTGAAACTTCTATTGAGAATATATTGTTCAATTTGGAGTTTGGTTTTCCTAATTCCTAACAATAGTCTAGGCTGACACTCCAGTGCATTGCTGGGGGAGCATTGTCAAAATGCTATCCTTCAGATGAGATGCCAAGTTTCCAATTGCCCGGACATTATAGATCCGATGGCACTAATCAAAAAGACCAGGGGGTTTTCCTCTTAGTGACCTGATCAACAATCCTCCAAATAAAGTTGGCCACACATTTCGTATCCATTCATGGAACGTTGCTGTGCATAAATTGGTTACCGCGTTCATCTATACGATACACAGTCACCACACTTTACAGTAAATTCCTATGAGGAACTTTGAGATGTTTTAATGACATAATGCACAGATTATTACTACTGTTATCTATGTACACAGACACACACCTTTCACAGTGTGGTCCATTGGTAGGCTTCAATGATCAACCATACAGTAAAGCTTTGTTCCTTCCCCTGTGACCAAAAACAGCCTTGAGAGGCAACAGGGTTATTAAAATTATTTCAGTTTTTTTTTTTTTAAGAAGCATTTAGTTGACACCATCCATCCCAGAGCAGGGTGTGGTGGCCAGGCATTCACTGTGTTCGGAGATTGTGTGTGTTTTGGTAACTCAAGCCCTTCTGTTAGCAAGTGCTTCAACCCAAGACTCCAGTGTCACCACAGGCTCCAGAAAATGTAATGCTCTGTCCTGAAAATAATGAATTTAAGTTACGAGATGCATCGAATTACCCACTTCTTAAAGCGGAGATCATAGCTTTCTGTTGTTGTGGCAGGATAAAACCATCGTGCAGTTTGATATCAAAATTCAGGATCACTTACATCATAGATACGTTGCAACCTTACCTTCTGTTCCCTAAAGACATAGAATGATATTCATTCAGATTCCCCCCACCCACCAACCCTACCAAAAAAATACATTGATGCAACTGTTTCAATCTTTGAAATGGGAAAGTTGGACAGAACAAGGCTGCAACACAGCTGAGAGAAGCTCTCAACATAAAACTGCTAGACTAAAGCTTGAGAAGTAACTACATCTTTGAGATCGCATTACAAAGAGTAACTCACCCCAGCCCACCGTTATTTCAAATCTCATTTTACCCAGGACGCCTACTAATCCCAATAATAATAATCTTTGCATTTGAGATTTCAGCCTGAGGATGTCTCAAAGGGCTTTGCAGAATTTACTGTGGAGCGACTGTGTATTTTTGCAGTCAAACACGGCAGCTAATTTGCTCTCAGTAATTCTTGAAGCTTGGCAAAGGGAAAATGCACAAACTGATGGGAGAAAAACAGTGAAATGAAAACTAAATTCTTAAGGAAACTTAACATGAATTTGAAATCGAAATTTACTCACCGGGCGGCCTGTTCAGAGCTAAGTTTCGGAAGTGACTGCCTTTGATAATTTCAACAGAAAGTCTCCCTGTTGTGGCATTGTATGATAGTCCAACCAGCAGCTCTGGAACTCCACCATGTGAAAGTGACTGAGTAGATGAAGCACTGTCACTGTGAGAGACGGCAGACAGGCTCAGCTGCGAGTCTCCGCTCTGCAAGACAAGAAAATATCACCTTTAATCTCGCTTTCTAAATGAGCACGTTTCAACTCGATTTTAACCTTTAAAAGGGATAAGTCGCAACAAACGATAAATAAATGCAGGATATCAGGCACCCTGCAGCATGCTCTCGACCAACACCACAAGAGGATCAGATCACATCATTTCTCTGTGCAAAAATACACAATCACTACACTCCAAGCAAAATACTGCAATGCTTGCATTTGATATAGGACCTGTAATCTTGAATATCTCAACGAGCTTCACAGGTAATTGCAGTCAGATGCAGTGACTGTGTCTTTGCAAGCAAACGCAGCAAACAATTTTCGCTTTGGAAGGTCCCGTGAACTCCTTTTCCTAATCCATCTATGGGCTTTTCCAGTCATTTACATCCTGGTCAGTTATTAAGGGTCAGGCTCAATGCAACGACAGGCCAATGCTTAGAATCATGGAGCATTACAGCATAGAAGGAGGTCTTTTGGCACATCATGCCTGTGCCCACTCTTTGGAAGAGCTACCCAATCAGTCCCTCTCCCCCGCTCTTACTCCATACCCTCCATAATAATCCCTCCAAAACTAAAAACAATAATAAATTGGTCATTTTCAATCCACGACTGTTTGTGGGACATTGCTGTGCGCAATTGGCTGCCGCGTTCGCCCACAAATATACAGTCAATTCACTTTACAGTATATTCTGTGAAGCGCTTTGGGACGTCCTCCCGACGTGAAAAGCGCTATATCAAATGCAAGGATTATTATTATTATTATTATTACCCCTGCAATTCTTTCCTTTTCAAGTACCTATCCAATTCCAATGCTTGTCCAAGTACGTCTCAGAGGAACTCTCTCTTTATTGCACTTACACTCAAGTTGCTTCGAGGCTCCAAGACCAGCGTCACTTCGACATCGACCTCCTGTCTCAGGTTGCTGAGGTGGAAAAGCTTCTCTCCCATCATTCTCTCCCGGTTCAACTTTTTCACCGCGTACAATCGGAAGCGCAGGGCACAGCTGTGCAATTCCTCAGGCTCCAACTTACTGAAGCTGAACGTTTCGTTGAAGATCGGTGTGGGGCCTCTCTGAATGCTGGACCTGGCACGTTGCTTCTTGCTGGGCAGAAGGACCATGTGGACCTGCCACAGTTTGGCCCCACTGCGGTCCTTGTCTGGGATGTTTTTAGCCAGCACCACGGTCACCGTGAGCTTGTGCCTGGAAGCTTTGTAGGTGTAGACGAAATAGAGGTCTCCACATTTGGAAATTGGTTCATGCCGTATCTGAGGACTTGTGGTCTTCCCATCAACTTCCTAGAGAAGATCAAAACGGTCAGGTTAATAGACAGTACAATTCGCGCAGCTCTATGTGCTAGGCATGAAAATCATTCCAATTCATATGTTTTTACATGAAATCTACAACATGGAAACGGGCTATTGAGTCCAGTTGGTGAAAATCTGTGCCTGTGAATCTTCTGTGGCCGTCAAATAGCAGCTCTCCCCAACATTTATGGCATAAATATTCAATCAAGGAAATTTATTTTGTCGTCTGACCATAAAGATTGTCCACCGCTGGTTTAGAGGGTGAAAGGTGCAACATGGTCAGATGCTCAGCCAAAGATCTCAGTTACAATTCATGGTCTGTGCTTAGACTTAATTCTCCAGACCTCTCCCCCTCCCACATATAATCGCAGTTTGCGCAATGCCCCCAAATTTTGGAATTTTAGGCAGCAAATGGAAATCAAAATTAGAACTTCCAGATTTAAAAAAAATACACATTGCAAAATCAGATCCGTAGCATTACATACTCATGTAGTATTCAACTATTTCACCCTCCCCACCCCTTTTTGGGGTGCTGGGGACGGTGGAGGAAGGAAGAGAGAGAAAGTACTTCAGCACAATGCCTCAACTCACTGCCCAACACTCTCCTCTCTAACCTCAATCTGCTGCACGCAAAATGTCTCCTTGTCTTTTTTTCCCCCCAGTGTCAACATTGCTTTTATTCGGCTGATTAGCACAGGATCACAATAGCGTTTGGTATTAAAGAGGTGAAGAATTTGTTCTTTTCTGCTCCTTTCAGCATCGCTCTCATTTACAAAGAGCCAGGTTCTACCCTTATAAATAGACTCCTACAAGTAATTAGATCGAGAGGCTTGAAACCCTTCCCTTGAATGCTCCCCTCTCCCATTTACTGCATCAAGGCACCAAGGCATGAAGACATTACGATTAAAAAAAAATCAGTGATCAAATAACGCGTAAAATAGGAACAGCTAATCTAGTGTATAAGGTTACCTACCCAACCCACACATTTTACAACCATTAGACTAAGCTGTACTTTGTCATCCAGTTCTCACACAGATTCATTGCCAGTGCTTTTTATTGAAGGGCAGAAAGTCTGCTATATCGTTTGTAGAAATCATTTGAACAGGATTTTGTGGGATGGTTGGGTTGTGTTTGACATTATTCTAGTCTCATCACTCCATTAGTTTTTTCGTACCATTCTTTGATGCATTTCCCACCCAACCCATTCCATCTCCATCTGGATCAGTGAGACTAACTCGGGGAACACTAGCTGAGGTCTAGAGCACAAAGCTATAACTACTGCTATAGTCTGATCCAACTTGAACATGAGGAATATGGCAATGGAGCCCGAAGGAGAAGGATTTGTATCTCATAGAATCACATGGTGAAGGTACAAAGCGGGCAACAACAACTCCTCAACGTCCAGCACCTTGGGACGTCCTCCCGACGTGAAAGGCACTAAGTGAATGCAGTTTGTTGTTGTTGTTGTTGTTGACGGTTATATCTAGAATTGTGACCTTGTGCATCTTGTTCCAACAAAAATAAAAAAAAACGTGCATTTATGGAGGAGCTTTCAAGTTAAAAATAAAAGGCTTAAAATGCTTGGCAAAATATAAATGGATTAGAAATCACAGTCAACGATGAGACAAACTGAGCAGCCAAAATATCTGCTCTCCTACACAACTTCTCCAACAATTAGACAGGAGCAAGGTGCTGCCAGGTTATACATGTTATAGGTATCCACTTACAGCTAAATCAAGAGAAACCTTCGTAATCCAATTTGCAGTGTCAGTCTAATAGATCTTATCATGCTGACTTTAATTCAGTCAGCCAGATGCCTAACACATGGAAAAATCCACCACCATGCTTAAAAACATCTACCTGGTGATGGGTTTCTGCATGTGTCAGACATCCGGCTGACTAAAAAAATAAATGTCACGTTGACATCAGGTACACACAAAAATACATGCACACACTCCAAAAATCATTGCTGTATTTGGGTCAGGAAACACAATGCAAGGTAAGGACAGAAGTCTAAATAATAATAATCCTTGCATTTGATACAGCGCCTTATCGCGTCTTCGAGACGTCTCAAAGTGCTTCACAGAATATTCTGTAAAGTGAATCGACTGTATATTTTGAGCGAAATGTGGCAACCAATTGTGCACAGCGGTGTCCCCCAAACAGTCGTGGATTGAATGACCAATTTATTGTTATGATTATTATTAAATGAGAGAAATCAATGAATATTAAATTAGAATTAACGTTATTAATTCTACGTTCAGTTTGCCTAAATAATGACGGAAAATACAAGTTGAGGCATAACACCTTCAAAGGAACTCAGTTGATGTGGCGTTCATTACCTCTGGGCTCAATACTGACGAGCTGTCCGTCTGATCATTCGCTTCATAGACCTGATCATTGAAGTTGGTCTCTTGATCGGGACTTCCTTCTTCATCGGGCTCTCTGCTTTCACTGTAGGCCAGACTTTCAGCCCCTAAGCCTGGAGTCTCATGGTGACCTTCTCCAGTGTCAAAGACACAGCCCGAAGCCACAGATAACTGATCATCATCCCGATAAGAGTCGTCTTGGAAGCTTAGCCGCTGTTCATTCTCCACATCTAGAGTCGTGAACACAAAGCAACATTCCTTAACCTGCACGAGCTGGAAGCCATTTCAAACCAGCATTAGAAAGCAACATTCACTGAAAGCGGAAGAAGTTGAAAAGAAGTTGAAATAGCGTAGATAGAAATTCACCGCAACCATTCAGACTAATATTTACCCGAGGGGGAAAAACAAAAAGCTCAAAACACAAAAAGGTAGCAATAGGGAATGACATGCAGAATTGAAAAGGTGACTATTGATTCATTTATTATACCATGAGATAATATCATATGTCAATAAAGGTTTCATGCCCACTAGCCTAGACTTTAACATGAGAGTTAGAGAAGCCAACACACAATGGGAAACACATTCAATTTTGCAAGCTGCGAAGGGGGGAACCTAGCATCGAGGGGGTTTGTTCAGTGTTAACTGTGACCTTATTGGAAGCTGTGCACAGTACCTTCAACTTCAGAGGCCTCTGTGCTGTACTCTTCATGATTTGAAGGCAATCGGCTGAATTTGTGTCTGCGCTGAGAACCAGGCAGAGACACTTTCTCGGACACTGTCGAACGGAAGCTCTGGGATCGCGACACAGAGATTTCAAACTGTTTGATCACTTCCTCGTCACTGTCTGTGGATGTGGTCAGCTCATTATCATCCCCGTAACTGTTCACTAGGGGTAGAGAGAGAGAGAAAGAGAGAGAGAGAGTAAAGTCCCTTGGCATTTTTCAAGTGAAAAGCACTTTTTTTTCTTCTCGCTCGGAGTTAAGTTAGCAGCAGATCGATTTGCGGTCTCAAAAATATTTTTAATGCTGCTCGCGCTCCCAGAACTTTGGAACTGTCTCCCTCAGTCTATCCGCCGTGCCCCCTCCTACCCCTATTTTAGATCAAAACTGAAGACCTTCCTCTTCGACCGAGTTTACTGTCACCTCCTTCCTCCATGTGGCTCGGTATCAGGCTCCGTCACTGTTAAGCGCTCCGAGACTCTCTGGCATGTGAAGGCCGCTATGCAAAATCTCATAGCCCTTCACAGAACATACTGTAAAGTTAATTGACTGTATGTCTTGTAGGCAAAACACGGCAGCCAATTGCGCACAGCAGCGTCCCCACAAACAGTCGTGGATTGAGTGAACACATTTTTAAAAACTTTTTTGAAGGGTTTACTCCCGGAAAAGCGATCCGCCAATCGACCAATAACTGGGTTCCTACTTACTGCTAGGTAAACAGAGGTGTGTGGAGTAAGGAAACTTGCCCAACGTTCAGGAATCGAACCCAGGTCCTCTTGCTTGCGAGGCGAGTGCTCTAACCACAAAGCTACAGAAACTCAGATTTTCCTTGTGAAGAACCATTTTTCACCAATTGCATTTCACTCCAAGGGCCCTTTGTGCACCGACTGTTAAAAATAGAATCTTTTGTTGCCTCGTTACAATGAAAGATCCATGTGTAAGCGAGGAACAAAACTATTCTTTTTTTGAAATATACAAAAAGTGATGGGATCATCTCTTTGTGGAATCAAATACATCAGCTGTAAAAGGGAGCCAACAAGCTCTGCTAATTTATTAGCAAGGTTCACTGCCGCTCTCTGTTTTACAGAGAATCTGAAACACCCGAAAAAGTATTGAAAATCCGTATTTTTCTAAAAAGATAAACCACTTGTTGTAATGCCAGATTTTCACCTTACATTAATCTTCTTGGTAGCACAAACTTTCTACCCATCTTAACTCACAATAGATTGCCATTTTTCATCCCTGCCTTGCAATCCCACTAAAGGAATCCACAATACCAGAACCAACTACAAAGACCAGACTTACGTCAACCAGCTATTGCCTTACGCCAATTGATGACTTATTTAAATACTAATAGAAAGATCAAAATCAGGCCATCACAATCAGACCTTGAAAACCTCATTCTCCCAAAATGCTCCACCACCTTTCTGCACCAGGGTCTGTCAATGGTGGTGAAGCATTCATAGTGAGCTGGGCATGTGGACCAAGAGAAAGAGGGCAGAAAATTGGAGCACAACAGATCTAATTTAGCCAGCCTCCTGGCTAGATACATCAAGAAGCACAACAGTGAACTCCTGCACTTTCCCTGTGTAACTTTGTGTTTCAACCATACTGTGCCATGTCAACGTAAAAAAATCCCCTCCAAAAAACACTAAAGGTTAACTTTACTGATTGTTTATGGATGAATCACAAATATCTGTTCAACCATCAGCAAGCTTCCCTAAGGCATACTCCTATTAGGCAGTAACAGAATCTCAGGCTCAGTGAACATATAAACCGCTTGAACCCTGCTCTTGTGAGTTTTCACATTATCTGAAAACGTCTACTGTCTTGTAACCCACTCCCTCATCCGTCTATTATTTGATAATACGTTATTGTTCCCACCTCATTAAAGTCTACCTGTGAGATACTCGAGACAGATACACAAGGTAGTAGAGACTGCGAGAATGATTGGTCTTTTTGTTGCCATAGTGACACTTGAATAGAAATTATCATTATCCTTTATTATGTATTGTTTCTCTGACAACCGAGGTGGCATTTCAAGGCTTATATAATGTATAGTTCAGATGCTTTACATGCATTTGAAGTAGGTAGATGATTTCCACTAAAAGATTTGTTTTTATCATTAACACTACATTTCGATTGACATAAAAAGGTAATAATGAAGGGTACCAGACTCGTTCTAATCCAAATCGCTCGTTTTTAAAAAAAATTATGTAGTTTACATGTCTCTTAGGATTCTAAAGAGAATTCCGAAGTCAATATTTCACAAAGATATTTTTGTCTCCTCTCCATCAAGAGCAAATGCTGAAATGAGCAAGTACTAATTTGCATTCTAAAGAAAATACGACAAGATTAATGCTCAGTTTTAATACTCATGAGACCCAAAATTTCATCAAGTCTTAACCTGCAAGACCATTTATGCTTTATGCTGAAGAAATGTGCTCTTAATTTGGAGGCCAGTTTCTTTTGAACAACGGAATACTAGTTTCAAAATTTAGATTGAATCAAAGGATTTTCCAAAATTCTGTGCGACTTAGACAACAAGGGTCTCAGAGGCTAAGACTAAGTGGAATTTGAGGCCTTCGAGTTCTTTAGGACAACGCGAGGTTAAAAATGTTGGATTCAAAAAACTCGGTTTGTCGAACAGAGGCTCCCAGTTTTGCAAATGAAACGAAAAGACGTGGCAAAGACATTTTGTGACCGGCGATTTGCTTTGCGATCTCGTGTTGAGTCGGTGAAGTGCTTTTCTCCGCCACAAAACATCCCAAAAAGTAAAAGGAATTTTCAATTTACAACAAGAATGCCACGTTTTGAACCTTTACAATGGCAACCTTTTCCCTTACTATTCTCCCACTTTACTTGCATGTATATAGCGCCCTTCACCTGGTGTAGCATCGCGGAATGCTTAAGAGAATTCCACAATTTGGTTCACAAACCGGAATCGCTGTTAGCTCAGTAATTCCTAGTTTGCGAATGCTATACCGTTTCAATCCCAACATACAATCATCTCTTATCTGCGTTCATCTGGATCCATATCCCATTCCCTTAACCCCGTTCCCAAACGGATAATAATCTGGGTCTGAACCAAAAATTAAAATTGCGGGAAAGGAATAAAAATCCTTTCCTTTGACATTTCTCCTTGAATTTGTACTGATCAATTTTTTTAAAAAAATTAAAGAAACTTGGTGAATAATGGTTCAAAAATAACCTTGAATGCTGGAATTCTTAAAAAAAACGTATGTGTGTATGAGAGAGAGAGAGAGAGAGAGAGAAAGAGAGAGAGAAAAGTTCATCCAATAACAGGTCTTACAAACAGCAGACCTGTTTTTCTTGGTTGAACGACAACATTTGCAAGAACCCAGTGTTTGGGTTTACCCAAAGAGGTAATGAGATTCATAATCAGAGAATGGACACCTAAAAGGCAACACTGTAAAATGCCTCTTGCAACAGCAGTTTCCTCATTGCTTCTCACTTTGCTCGTGGCCCATATGAGGAAAGAGGGGAAATTGGAAATGAAATGTACACCAAAAAGTGTCCCCATCTTCAAACTGAATGGGGACCATTAATGCAACTATTAATTCATTTGGAATTTAGATACAGAACACCCCTTGCTGGAATGATATTACAACAAATTCTGTGCAGGATTTCTCTATTGATGATGGAGCTTAAGTATTGATGTGAATAGCAGTGATATTCCATAGACTGTTACAATGAGGGAGTGATAAAACAGTTTGGAGGCTGAAATAATAATAATCGTTGATTTACTGTAGCGCCTTATCACGTCGTTGAGACGTCTCACAGAATATATTGTAAAGTGAATTGACAGTGGGTGTATTTTGTGGGTGAAATGATGGGGGAGAGAGCGGTGACTGAAATGATGAACTGAATGAATATCCCAAATTGGATCTCATTCGGCATGACGCCAAAAGGCTGCATTGCAGACCGATCAGAGTCAGTGATATGGAAGTATAACAGTGATGTGTTTTAAACAGGAGGGAGCGCTCTGTAGTGACTGGAACAGAGTAAACAAACACTCCATATCCTCCTCTGACCTGCAGGCCCAGGCCAAAATCCCTTCATTTGACGAATATAGAAATAATGAAAAGAACCATCGTATTGCTGGATTGCAAAGAAGCAACACAGTTCCAATGGGCCGAATGGCTTCCTTCTGTGCTGCAAGTTTCTAAGTTTCGATAACCCCTAAAATAAATACTTCTGCAAAGAAACATGGCAAATTTTATAACGAACACACGTTAGTTAGTAACTGCCACATTTTAATGCCTCATTATTTATAGTGTTTACCTCCAAAGCACGATTAAGCATTCAATGCTTAATTTAAAGCAAAATAATTTCTGCAATATTTATTTCACCCAATCCCAAACTGTACCTAGAGTACTTTTGAATAGAAGTGGTAGTGATGGGACTGATGTAAGTTGCCATGAATCTGATCATCAGGTTTTACTTTGGTGTATGCATTCTTGAGGCACTGAATTTCCTTTTGGAGCTTGCTCTGCTTGAATGGGTTTTCCATCAGATTTTATTTTCACATGAAACTTTATAAAAAGTGCAATTAAATCACAAAGCAATTTTTTTTAAAAAGCAGCTCGACATGAAACAATGAACAAGCAGTGAGAAGGATGTATAAATACACAAAGGGTGCGGATTAACTCAACAGCATTAAGGTTAAGGAAAACTGACAATGGCTTAAGGATATATATTCGACAGCATAAAAGATTTGCTACAAATCTCCAAGTTGATATTTGAACAGAACAGGATTATCATTTGTGCAAAAACAAGTACTTTGTGTACCTACGATGCTGTTTCAAAATTCAGCTGCATCCAAATTAGAATTGTATTTGATTTATTTACTTCTTTGATCAGCCGGGTGTCTGACACATGTGGAAACCCATCACCGTGCTTAAGAGTATCCAAACTAAACTGAGATTTCCATTCATCCCACCTACACATGGAAATTCCCGGAGATAGATTGTTGGAATGGAATGCGCTCTCTCTCCCCGGAGGAACGCATCCTGTTTACCTAATTCCGGAAAGTGTTAGCCGCAGGTTGGCAAGAGCCAAGGCTTGGGGGACCCCAGAGTGTGCATTGGGATAACTGCTGGAGTCTGACCAGCTAAAGCCACATTGCTTGCCTTAATTTGCGTTAAAGATTTGATCAGGTGGTAATCCTTCAGGGGTCGGTTACTCTCAGCTTTAGGGGATACTTGTGCAGGGAGCAAGGACCAGCACAAGTGAGTTGTATCCCCATTGCACTGGGGGACAAGTTGAGAATGGAGGATGTTTAAGTAACTGCTACCGACTTTTATTAACAGGTAGGCTCGTTACAACAACTACCTTTTATTATCAACAAAACACCATCGTCAAAAGGATATAAAATCTTTTCCCATCATTTACCTGAGAGAAAAGCACCATATTTTCTGGCTTTAAACCAGTCTCCAAAACAAATATTCAAAGATATGTCGGTCACAGGATAAGAATCATCGCAAAGAGACCATTAACATTCACCTCACCTACTCGTCAATAAGCACCTGAAGTGTATTGTAATATTTTATATACACTTTAGGCAAATTTGTGAAGTGAAGCTTATAATCCATAAACCATGTCAAGCATTCAGTCAAAAAAAAAGGTCAAAGGTACGCAAAGTCTGAGAGAGATAGAGGGAGAGAGAAATGGACTGAACCGATTAAGATAGAAGCAGTGAAGGCAGAGGAAAATGAAATAAATCCATCTGTTTGTGGAGTCTGATATGGGAGGAGTTCCTGGTTAGCTTACCTGCCTGAATGTTTTCATGAGGTCCAATCTCATCATAAAGCGGTTCATTCTCCGAGGCGACATTGGTGAGACCGGGACAAGTCTGATTACTCAGTCCTTTCATCTCTTCGGGAACTGGAATCAAATCGTTCAGAGATGGGTCATCGTAAGGATTATTCTCATCATGTAATCTGTCCCCTGGAGCAGTCTTCCCTTGCAAACGGGTTACCGGATCTGGGCCTGTGTGTAATGAAGAGGATCCTTGTCCCAAGTCTCCATCAAGCTCGCTGTTCATCACATTCCGATTTGAGTGAGTTCTGACACCTCGAATTCCATCTTCCTCAGCCTTCAACCCCATCTCAATATTCTCGTAACGTGGTTCCGATGTATCTTCCAGAACTTCTCTGTGGTTTGTGCCCGTAAAATCATCACCATAATCATCACCATAATCATCATCATCATCATCAACATTTAAAGCTGGATCCGAGTCCAAGTCAAGTTCTTGCTCCGGGTTCTCACGCTTTGTTTTTGCCAATGAACTTGAAACTCTGGACTCCGACGTTTGGGTGGAAAGACCTTGGCGGAGGCCAGGGAACGAGTTGGAAATGGAGCTGCTGGCTTGTTGGACCGATTCGGACACCTGAGATATCCAGGCAGAGAAGGACTGAAAAAGCGGCCTCTCTTTTGGGACTCCTTCAGAAGACATGATTTAATGGAACTCACCGAGGCTTGATCGCCAAACGGTCCAGATGTTTAATTTGTCAACATGCCACAGTTAGTTTGTTGTGAGCTATGGAATGAGGATCATAAGCAATTAAAATCTGCAACATCCGAGAAAGGGTGGAGGAGGGGGAGAAAAAAAAAGCCACCATCACACTGCGCAGTGGAAGAGGTGATGCAGAGAAAGAGCAAAGCAAGCCGAGGAGAGATAAGAAAAGTCAACCCACATTGCACAGCACATTGACAAAGCCAGACTAACTCCATCAAACGGGATGACTTAACTCCCGATTTGGAAAGCAATCAGCTTCATTAGCTTAAGAGGCTATTTTCCCAAAGCTTTGCTTTTTGGGAAAGTAACACATTTGAATATTGATCTGAAATGTGACTAAAATATAAATTCTGCAACATGAATTGAAAGAAATAAGTAGCTTTATCAGGTTAAAGACTGTTGGAGCTGTGCTGTACCCTATCCGGATCAGTTTCTGTCTGTATGAGATTGTGCTGGACCAAATAGTATCTTAACCCATTTAATCAGCAGGCCAGATTTTCAATTTACTTTTGAAATGTCAGTATTTCAGTGATTGAAAATATACCTATTGCAAGCTCCAGATAGAAAATTCAGTTCTCCAGGGTCAAAAGATCCCACTCTCTTGCTGAGTCCGGTATAGAAAAGGAATCATACAATCAACCAATTACTCATTCTCCAAATGGATGGCAGCAAAACGAATGCAAACCTGAATAGATTCTATTGGAGTGAGGTGGGGAACAGAGAAAGATATAAAGGGAGATGCTACAACTAACATTTCCAGAATTAGAATAACACTGTTATAAAGCACTTCAAGGTCAACTATCCCAACCCCCTTCTTACCAACAAATTCCCATGTTGAAAACATCATCAAAATCCTCAGTGTTGTTGTAATGGGATTTTTTCATATTAAGTCCGAGCTGGCTAATTTTCCTGACTTGGGAGAAGACTCTCTCTTACACAGAGAAACTTAAATAAGTCACACACTATCCGTTTATTTCAGAGGTACAAGGGAGGAACGCAACTCAATTCAGACATTTTTTTCCCTTTGGTTTGTGGTTTTTTGCTTCAAGATCTACTGCTCAAACATTAAAACTTAATTCGCTTTGATGCCACAACCCAGAGGTTAACAACACTGAATGAATATCAATGCCATTTTGCCACTTCGACACATAATGTGCCCAGCATGGAACAGCAAACTTAAGGGCTTACTTGTGTTCCGGTTGCATAAAAATTGTGGGGACAAAACAAAGACCTTTGAAACAGAACTTCATACAGACCAGAATGTTTGAAGCCTGAAATGTGCTGCATTAGCCCTGGATGTCCATGGGACATCTACACTATTTTAAGGAACATTTCTGGGGTGTGCATGTAATTTAGAGTGCATAGGTAAAACTCTTCCTGGCTCCATCTCTCCCTAATAGCAGAACATTCTTATACAATAGTGCAATTGTTAATTAACATGCCAGTCATGTCACCAACATCACTGAGCAGCAGTGCAGAGAGAATAAAGCTTTGCTCAAGGTCTTTGAATGTGCAACATTGCGCATGGTTCTATAGGACACGATCCTTTCATTCATAACAATTACATCTGCCAATTTAAAGCAACATTCTGCCTCACAGCCAAGCACCACTTACAGGCACTGAATCCAAATGCCAGTGTGCATTATTTGACCTGGCATCAATTGAAAATAATCCTTCAACAAAAGTCCTGCGATATCACTTGAAAACAACTTTTTTTTTAGGTTTCCGTACAGAATGAGACACTGAGTTTAAAACTGGTACTTCTGAATGATATTGCATAAGTGTGGCAAGATTAAATTAAATACTGACACCTATTATTCGTTCAGTCACTCCCTGCCCGTTTACGTTTTGGTTTGTAGGGTTGAGAACTTAACTGCACCAACACATCTCATTTACGCGTCACACAGGTTGGTCAGCCATCAACGCTACTTTGGATAACTCAATCCCAGGGAGTTCCCACTAACCTCCTCCCCTTCCAGCCCCAAACACGCGCACTCCCTCAAGAAGATATTTTTGGATGTGTTATTCATTCAGTCAGCTTCGAGGTATCAAAGGCAGAGTGCATCCGACAGGATCGAAACCTAGACTTTCTAGTCCCATGTTTACTGTTCAATTAGCTGAGATACCAAGAGATACAAAAAAAAAATAGGACAGAACAGATCTTGTACAGAAATCCTCAGCCATCCAGAAATAAACTTGTTCAACATTTTACAGACATTTTTAGAAAGCTGAAGAAATGAGAGGTAAATTATGGTTTGACACAACTAGAGAGCAATGCACCAATGGAAGACATCGGTGTGAAGCCCACATTAAATAGTTTGCGTACAATCGCTTGCAATGAGTGTGCACGAACTTACCAAGTCCCTCGTGGGCTCTTTTATCTCTTGTTCGCTTCTTAGTACGTTTGGGTTCAAGACACGGGAGCCCGCCGATCTTTTCGAAGCACAGTTTTTTGTTGATGAAGAGGAAGAGGACACCCAGCAAGACGATGAAGACTCCGACCGCCGAGAGGAAACCGATGGCTTCCTGCGTGACTACAAGAGAACAAAAAAAGGAAAGAGGAGTTAGAAACAGATCACATCTTTTCTGCTTACCCTTCTTATTTTTTGCTTACCATTCGTTTCCTTCCTCTCTACTACACCAGACTCCGGCCAAATGCATTCAATCAGTCTGATTGTTCTCAAGCCAATGACACCAAATCTTCTTTGGCTTCCTTTTAGGAGGTGCTAAACAGTGAATCGCAGTGACTTGCCTGCTGATGTTTCCTTGGCTTCTTCCTCTAATGGCATAGACAGCGTCCAAGGACAATAGCTCATGTGCTGCCTCTCCGTGGCAAACAGCGCAATATGGTCACTAGTGTCACAAGAGTATTTGAATTGAGGTATCCGGAGAACAACACAGAGGGACTGTCCAACGTTAAGAGAGATGATCTATTAAAAACAAATAGATAAGCTAGGGCTCTTCAACCTCGAACAGAGATATTCCAGAAGGAACTTTAAAATAAGGTATATATTATATTACATATATATATTATATAAATGTGCTTAATGGGATAGAAAATATCAATCCAGAACGTTATATGTCAAGGCAGCAGGACAAGAGGGCACAAGTTCAGGCAACTTAGGACAGACACCAGTAAGTATTTCTTCACACATCAAATGATCGACAGTAACAGGTTACCAGGAAGGGTAATTAAGGCCAACATTTGGCTCAATTAAGAAAATGCTCGATATTGTATTAGGAACAAAGAGTTGAATTGGTAATTTGGAAATCAAATGCATCCAAACCTGTATCATATGCTAATCTAATGTTAAGCTGAGTTAATGACTGCCTGGAGCTCACTGCTGTCAGACAGGAAGTTTCTTCTGTCAGTCTTGGTTAAATTACCAATAGGATTCAGAAATCAAACCTTTCCATTGCTTTAGATGACATATTGTCCTCTTCAGGCTGAGCTGAGTCACTCATAAAGCAGACAGGATAATTAAATCCTGACCAGTCATACTCAGAATCAGCCTCTTGGTGCTGCGTTGGTGGAAATGTGAATTGCATTGTATATCATCAGAACTACCAAAGGGATTAAGAACAGCTTATGTTATTGGGGCATCATGAGCCTCCCTGACCTCCCCCCACCAGCCATTTTCAGCACAAAAATGTACATCTGTCCAACAATCTATAAAGCTTTAATAAAAGAAACTATTGCAGGCAGTACTGCAGTGTTTGGCAATAAAGAGGGGCTCAGGAAGCTGTGAGGTTGCAGGACTCCCAACAGATACTCTTCAGACCAGAACAGGAATTGAGAATCACTCGCAGCAAGGATTGTGTACAAATAGCAATGTGCAGGCCTGGAAAAACATCACGATTTGTCTGGCCAATCTCTCCCTCTCTTACATATACCCTCACGCTAGCTCCTTTCCCCATTCCCTGTGCTGTCAAAAAAAATTACCCAACTCGCTCTTAAAACTTCCCACTCTCTCTGGCTGGAATTGATTTTAATGATGTGACTCATCTGGGTCTCAGCACCTGTGGAATCTCTCTGTTGTGGGCCCCCGTTCAAACAAACTGTGACTCAATCTTAATAGCAGCACTTTGCGCATAGGAAAAACGAGATTACACAAACCACAGCCCGAGAGTATTGCATTCCATCAAACACCCCCCTTCCAGCTACAGGGGTGGGAGAGAAATGGTTTTGGGAACGGAATGAATCGCAGCAAAATGCACAGTTTTTGCTTCCCATCAATCAAATCTGTCGGTTGACTGTTACGAGTCTATCGAGAAATACCTACAGCTGGACCGACGCTGCAAAACCAGCTCACATTCTGGTAAAGCTCTGCTGCTTTTAATCGATCATCCGAGACGCTACCCCACGTGAAAAGCGCTATATAAATGTAAGTTGTTGTTGCTATCGTAGCTTTAATTGACTTGGGTCAGGGATTGAAAAATTAGTCAAGGATCCAACTTCTCGTCTCTATCTGGTGTCCTCTCCTAGAAGATGTGTGGTGCATGTGTGTGTGGGGGTGTGTGGTGTGGGGGGTGTGTATATATTGCGTGGGAACAGTATAGGATTCAGCTGCAATTGCTTGCCCACCCACACACAGTCAGAAAGCCTACCAGCACAGCAGTGTCAAGACTCATACATGAAGAATGACCACTTGGAGAGTATCCAGTGCCCTTTGAACTACACCACACAGACGCACGCACACACACAGACACACACACACACACACGCGCGAGAATGAAAAATTCAGAAAGTCAAATAAAGTAAACGCCTGATACAGTACCTTCAGAAGAGCGAAAAAGTGTGAAGCAAAAAAATTATAACCACCTCTGATACGTAAGACACATCACAAATAAAGACACAAGATGAGAGA